GACGCTGGCGATGATCCCAAAGAGATTCTAGGGATGGGGAAAGCGGGGAGGACAGGGAGAGAAGATGGATCCGATGAGGGGCTTCAGAGATGCTTCGAGGGAAAGTGTCCCCCTCCTCCACCTCCTCCGTCCTCAGAAAGCAGCCCTCCCTCCGGTGTTGACCTCCACTCCTCATGGAAGCGGGGAAGGAGCCCCCCCTCCCCCATCAGCCTCCAGCAAAGTCCCCTCCCTCGGTCCCCCACCTGCTCTGCCCTTTGATCCCCCAGTGAGCCCTCCAATGTTCAGACCCAGGGGCGCCCCTGCTGGCAGATGGTGGTGAAGCGACCAGTACAGACAGGAACCAACCAACTGCACACATATACACAAAAGGCTGAGAGAGACAACACGGAAAACGCGGCCAGCCTAAGAGGTCCCGAGCTGCTGTTCAAGATGGCGGCGAAGGCGTTGTGTGCATCAGTGACTGCAGTTAATGTCCCTGAGCTAACGGTGCAGGGGGAGAGGTGTCTGCGCATACACATACATGCATATGCATATACTTGGATATGCTGGTGGTGGAATATGTGTACATGTGCGTATATATACCTATGCGTGTACACTTTTGTGTAAGTGCGCTGACGACAGTCACGCTGTACAAATGCGGTAAGAACCCTGGAAGGGTAATAGTTATGCATTAGGCTGTGAGCCACAGTCTGGCAGTTCGAAACCACCAGCCGCTCCATGGGGGAGAGCAGGGTCTTTTATAAAGAGTGCCAGTCTTGGAAGCCCACAGGGTCATTGTGTCCTATAGAGTCACCATGAGTCGGCATCAACTTAATGACAGCGAGCTTGTTTCTTGGGGGGTTGTTTTTTTTGGGGGGGGGAAAATACAAACAGTCCTGCCTTTTTTTCATATTAACTTACAATTACCTATATAAATTACCCTACATACTACCTGACATATATATGAAAATAGAAAAACATTTTTAAAAATGTTTATAAATCCTATATTTTGTTCCAAACAGAAACTTAGGGGTGGGAGTGGATGGGAGAGAGAAGGGAATTTTGAGATTCCCTGAGATATTGTGGTAGTAACAATCTGGTGTCAATTTGAGGATTCAGAGTGAAGGGGTGGAGTCTAGTCTGTCAATCAGGTCATAGCCAATGAGGCCTCTGTGTGGACATGGCCTTCTCCTGAGGATTCTGGGGACTCCTGTCTTCCTCCCTGGAGGCGGGGCACACACTCCCTCTCTGATCACTCCCTGCGAGACATCCCTGTGGAGAAGACTCATGGGGAGAGGCTGATGGAGCCAGACACTGGAGAAGTCGTGTGGAGACCCCTGCCAGCGCTGAGATGCTTACAACGCCACTGGATCCACAAGACTTCCCACCCACTGGCCTGTGATCTTC